GCTACTTTTTCATGGATCTTATTGCATCTCGAATTCTTTGATTTCAAACGAAAAGTTACAGGAACTGTCAGATCGACCTCTACGGATATGAGTTTCTCAAATTTTTATCAATACAAGTATGATTCTGTCGGCGAACATTTTTATTTTTCAACTTACTTCCGGCAACCTGACGAGGAGATCATGAAATCGGCTTGGCTGTTGAGGCGCGCTGTGTTCGACAAAACTTCGCAGGCAGCTCATGTACCGTTCTTGTATTTGTTCTAATTCCATTGTACCTCCACGTGCTAAGAGAAAACAGATGCAAGATACAAATATTGTGAATAAATGCTTTCAATAGTTCAGAGGGAACTCGTTACTTTGTTACCAACTAAAGTTATGCTAAAATTATGAATACTAAGTAACAACTACATTGCATTTGACATGTATGTACATAGAGGTGTTCACAATCATTTAAACTTAAGAAACTAATGTGTCTGACAGTCTCTCGATATCCTGATAATTGAACATGGAATCAAATTCAATTCAGGATTCGTTGAAATTATTATTACTAAAGACATTGCAATTTGTTTTACCAATAACGTACTCTTTACTTATAAACATGCTTATTGGAATAAATTTTTATAACAAACTTTGATACAAAATATTTAATGTTCTAACAATTGCGAGCACTGTTGTTATACAGACATTTGCGCAACTTTCTACTCATCTGCGATGAACTTACATTTTGCATCTCCAATTGCAGCATTATCAAGAAGTAGAAATTTCTTTATATTTCTCGACTTTTAATACGGTAAAAGAAGATAGAAGTGTATCAAGAATTCCCTGATTTCGAGTAAGTTGCCAGATGAAAATACTTACCTTGTGAGAGCATGGTGATTACTTTCAGACAGACATACTCTTCCATCCGTAGCCTCACCCTCCTGAACATTAGCGTAACGTATGTGATCTTTTCCACCATGAGCCCTACGTCTTGCCGTAATTGGTCCATGGTAATTGGCCGGCCCATCATGCTGGTCAGGCACGTTTGTAGCGTATACATGTTGTTCGAAACCTGTGTGCGGACAAATTCATTAAATCGCACCCATAGAACGTTGCACCATAGTTCCTCGTTAATATTCCTTAAAACTTTCACTACCAGCGTCACATATTCGTAACGACCATTTAGTATTTCGCGTAAAGGAAACCAAGTTACTTGCACATTAAATAGCAAAGACTTTAACGTTCAAACAATCCTAAATATTAATTACAAAGAATCTTCAAAGTATTTCGCTGCTGCCATTGACAGTGGTATATCGTCATGCACCACAATAACAAAGACATCACTCGATTTTTTAGTCGTTTAGACAAAGTCGTCTACTTTGAGATCTCATTCAGTTAATAACCTTTTCATACATTTTTTTAATCGTCCGCGTCTTTGGCAACGCGATCATTTCAATTGGAAAAACGCAGACGTTTCCCATCTCTATTCCCGAATGAATGAATACTTCGGTGTCTCTACTTCAGTCGGGTCTCGAGGTGAAAGTCCCGAACCCCTGAATCGGCTGTAGCCGCGGAGCGAGCTGAACGCGGAGATAGAAAGAGACGGTAATTACTTCTTGCATAAAATCCGCTCCCGTCCCGTCGGTACCGACGTTGGTGAACTTGTGCTGACCATGCATCGCTTGGTAGGCGGAGGTGGTCAGCACCAAGAGTTCGTGCCACTTGTGGGTGAGCAACCTTGTGTGAACTTCGACCGGTAGCTCAAGGTAAAACGGTAACCTTTTGGTCCACTGCACCAACTTGTACACTATGCTGTCTCCTATCTGACACAGCTTCTCACTTAAGTCTGATTTATGGTCCAGCAGCTCGTCCAAGTTCTGCAATCCGAGCGAAAGAGGTTGGTGAATAAGATTGATCGAAAGTATTGTAACGCGGGGGATGACGGACGACGAATTGCTAATTTTAAACAGCACGCGGATTCATGAAACGTTTTCTAAAATTGAAAGATACATTGATATCGCGTCGATGAATATCAAGGGACTACGTATACTTAACCCTTTCCCCTAATAACATCGTGTCAGACTTGTGATGAAAAGTTTAAACCCAGTTCGACAAATCCAAGTGTTTATTTTTAATACAAATTAAATATTACTTGCGTAGACACGGAATAAATACAACATTCTTTGCTTTTTGTACTAAATTATTAACAATGAAGTGCTTTTGTCAAGCACAGTCGTGGAAGGAATAAACTTGATTGATAAACTGATTCAGTTGAAATTATTACCTTTCGGAAATAAAATTTGAATTAATATTTAACGTCACGTGAGATGACACACAAAAATACTTATTCTAATTCCGCGTTTACAATGCTTCAAGAATTTTCTTTTATCCTTTCAAGATCTCGAGAGTGCTTATTATTTGCTGCAGAGTGTTCTCGCGGGGGACGAGGTAGTTTTGAAACGAGTGATTGTATGGAAACGTACGAGGAAGTGGTTGGAAAATATAAAAGCATCGGAACATACCCTCAACGTGGCGATATCTTGGAACTCGTCGCAGTCTATAAGGGTTTGGATCATGGCGAGGGTCGTGTCCAAAGGGAATGCTCGATCCCTCGAACTGCTCACAGCGTTGTCTAGCCTCTGCCTTAAATGTACCACCTTGAACATAAAAGATCCCTTTTTGAGTGCTTCCTTCATTTCCTCCTTTCCAAATATTTGCTTCCAAGAGTGTTACTTCCAATGATAAACAATTAGGAAAGAAAACATTCGTTGCATATGAATTACAGATTAGCATTTAAATATTCTAAATAACTAAACGTCCATTGTGATCCAATTCGATTTATAAAATATTAACGATTACACGACCGATATACAAAGCGAGCAACGCATAATTTAATAAAATTCAATTGAACCAAGTGAGATTCATCTTCGACCTAATGCCGATCTCAATTCCAACGAAACAAAACCATAATGCTGCATCAATGCAATCGTTAAACATTGTCCTAAACGAAACGAACAAAACGCTCAATATCTTTCAATCCCCATTCACAAAGTTCAACGCGCTAAAATCCTCTCGAAACCATTCGAAACTTTCACGACCTCATCAGTCGTGTCGGGGGATCAGTCGCGTCGTCGTCGCAGTTCAATAATTTCGATCCATCGATCGGTCGGTGGGGATCGCGCTTCCTACGTAAATCCGATCCGGCCTTTCACTGACCTTTCAGACCTCGATGTACTTCCTCGAGGTCGGTATTCCTTTACCACGGCAGACAGAAAGGTAAAGAGAAGAAGAAAAAAGGACAGAGAGAAAGACAGAGGTAGCGATGTAAAGAGGGAAAAAGAGAAAGAGAGTCGCGATACCTTTGGCGAAAGCTGCGATACCTCCGTGGACGTCCACGTCAATAAGCATAACCCTTAAGGCTCCTATACACGATGAGACTTGTTGCGGAATCTGTTTGTACTGTGTGCTAATATGTTCATTTTGCACGGAAAGTGAAAAAGATTCGTATCCATCGCTTGTGCTAGTGTTATGGAAACCGCGAGTCTTCGAAGGTTCAGAGCTCAACCTTAAAGGCTGAATCTTCAAAGCCCCAGGACTCGACTGTGAAGCTTGGAAAGCTCGATCTGAACGTTAAGAACCTTCAACGTTCAAGTCTTCTTGCTCGAAGAATCGAGAGTTGAAGATTTCAGCTTTCACAGCTCTAGGCATCAGCCCTGAGAGTTCAAGCTCTTAAGGCTTGAGCTGCTGCAGCTTTCAAAGTTAGAAGCTCGGAACTGATTTTCACGCTAGCTTGTAGCAATACATGAATAGTTACTGATGTTTCATAAAATTAGATACAGTCTGCCTACATATTATTGATTCTGTTCAGCAGAAAGATTGCAGCTAATTTTATGAAACATCGGTGGCGATGCGTGTGCCGCTGAAAGCGATGAGTTTGAATCTTTTTCACTTTCTGTGTGATAAATAAAGTATTAACATATACAAGAAGTGAAAAAGACCCAAACCCATCCCTTGTCAATAGACATGTCCCAAGACAAGTCTTTCTAGAACTTTGCAGCTAATATTCGTTTCATAAAACTTCAATGATGGTACATGTATCGTAACATATCATACCAACAGTGAAAAAGAGTCAAACCCATCGCTTGTCAATAGACATGTCTCGAGACGAATCTCTCTGGGACTTTGAAGGTGATACTGGTTTCATAAGACTTCATTGGTGATGAATGTATTATAGCATATCATACGAACAATGAAAAAGACTCAAACCCACCGCTTGTCAATAGACATGTCCCGAGACAAGTCTTTCTGGGACTTTGAAGCTGATACTGGTTTCATTAGATTTCACTGGTGATGCATGTATTATAGCGTATCATACGAACAATGAAAAAGACTCACACCCACCGCTTGTCAATAGACATGTCCCGAGACAAGTCTCATCGTGTATAGGGGCCTTTAAAGTTCGGTCTGCACGGGCGGAACGCCGAACCGTGGGACACGTTCGTCGCTGAAGGCGATCGCCGTGTTACAGAGCGCTGGTGGAGGGATATATCGAAGGTGTTCGGAGGAGGAAGAGAAGGAGGTAGGGTGAGGTCAGTGTCCCTTGTGCAGACTTTCACGAGTTACGAAACCGTCGGAGAACTGCCCGTCCTTGGCACCGGCTGTCGCTGATTTTCTATTGTCCCTACCTCCGAGAGTCCTCGTCATCGTGTACTGTTTCGCTCGCACTCTCGCGCGCGCGCGAGCGACACGACGTTGGATAACGGGCCGACGCGACGCTTTTCGACGTCGCCGTGACGATTCCTATCGTGCCCCGTCGATTTTTCATTCTTTATCTCCTCGATGTTTACTCGGTGACCACGAACAGACCAGACCTCGCCGGATAGTGATCGTCTCGATTCGCTTTCATCGTTCTCGTATCGTTCGTCAACAACGATTCGGCGTTGCTTTCAGTATTCTTGGATCAGCATCATTGATTTTTCACGCGGCAATAACTTCTTTTCTTGCAATCAATGCGTCCGTTCGATAACTGCTGTTTTCACTTTTAGAAAGGTGCACGCGATACGACAGTTCGTATTCTACAAACGAACCTTTATCAATCTTCCCTAACAAATCTACAAACTATATTTCTAGAAAACAAGAAATTACCGAGACGTTACTAACACGATCGTTACCAAACATCTCGCAACTTCTTCGGTTTCTGTGAATTCAATTCGAATCGCCGGAGATCGCTAGAGCATTCTCAATCCGATCGCGTTTATACGAAATTAATCGAACCGCCCGGTAGTGCGCGATAAATTTCATACTGAAATTGCATAATTACATGCAGTTACAGGGCGCGTAGGCGGCGAGTGCCTTTATTTTCAGTCGATCGTTCGCGAAAATCGAGCGACGAGAACGAAAACGGTTTCCGGTTCGCTGCTCCGGACATTTAAAAGAAGACGAAAAATGTTGCAATTCCTGTTTCGAAAGGGACTGGGTTCGGCCCCGAATCTTCCTGTATCCCGGCAACTTTCGCTAAGTCCATATTTGTCCCGCACGCGAGCTATACACTTTTGAAAATTCGCGAGCGTCTGCGTGTTGCACTCGCAGGCACGCAATGATCCTCGCCCGGAGATGGAAAGTGACCTCCTTAATAGAGACCCGCGGGCAATACTTGCCCGGCGATCGAGTCATCGATTTCACTTTTGGCAATGGCCTCTACCGGGCCGAATGTTCCCGGTGTAATTCTTGTCGTTGTTTGCATACCTCGTGCGGCTGGTGTCCGATCGTAACGCCGCCGATGCTCGAATATTCCCGATAAACCGTTCGATCGATACCTGCCGATTGTTGATTTCCGTCGGCTCTGGGTCGTGTCGGCGAATTAGAACAATCTGGCTTTCGCGTTTTGTTTCTGCGTTTACAACTGTAAAACCGATCTTACGAACACCGATGACACTAAGTTCACTATGATGAACGACTTCCGTGTACACTCATGAATATCAATCAATCCGGTATTTAAAATTCCATCCCGGCAGCGTCGATTAGTATTCATAAAAACGATTGCTTCGCATCATTGATACGGTTCGCGAAATTCACGCAGCGAACGTTCGAGACTGTGGCTGAAGATTGTTTGGCCGGGGCGCGGTTCAAGCTCGATTACTCGATTCAATCGGATCGTTGATAGTTTATGTAAATAGGGACTGGAAAAGTTGTTGACGCTTGTTGCATTCGATTGTATGTATTTCGAGGTTTAGGAAGGTGAATCGTTGAGTTCCTGTTTAATAGAAGCTTTGTGCAGTTTGTAGAGTAACAGATGACTCGGTTAATCGAAGTTTTTGAGCATCGTTGAATTTTTGGGCACGTACAATGTACGTTATATAGTTAAGAAGATTCTACGTGGAAAAATGAGAGAAACAATCGCTTTTGAAAATATCTTGCTCGTGGGGACTTGTTCAATAGGAATCTACTACTCTGTCTGTTTGTGACTCACCGTTTCTACTTCGCTTGGAATTACCAACGCATGATAGAAGGTTTTGAATTCGATTGTGTTCTAATCGAAATCTTCTATGAAACGACTTCGTCCCACGCCTGGTATACACTAGGTTCTATCATGATATTTTGTTTCATACTAAAATTCCATTGTAAAATTGGCAAACTGTTTCTAACTCTCACATTCCTCTTCCAAAATACTTACGAAAAGTTCAGAAGCGTATATTACAAGTTCCTTTTACGAATCATCATTACAATATTTTTAATCGAACTATTTATTACTCTATCCCACGTTTAAAATAGTCGAAACACAAATCACAATAAAAGAGAGTATTAAATTGCCTTCCTGAAATCTCTTTACAGAAACTTCAGGAGCGCATCTACCTTTTTAATCGATTTATAATTCAGTTTGCGCATCGCTAAATCAATTTCTTTAATAATTTCTCAGAGAAACGTCTGTTATCTCTTTAATAATTACAAAATCGAGAAATCAGGAATGCGTCATTTCGAGTCGTTTAGTAGTTCCAGTGTTAAAATGAACTTCTCAAGAAAAATCGGTGCAACAGGCGCATCTAAGGCCTGCGCCGCTCAGTCCCGTCACTGGCGAGGAAACATCGTGTTATCGTTATCCAACAACGACGCGATTCGCGTCGGCACCTGTAATCTACTGTTACGGTTGCATCATGTCGGGAAAATTCAATTATCGCCGCGGAAGAATATTCCGTTGCGCGGAGCCAACCCCTGGCGGGGATTAATTTTCGTCGGCGAACGACTTCCAGCGGCCCCTCGGCCGGCGGGTGTTTCACCGGTTAATAGGAAACACTTTCACGATGTAAAAGATAACGTCGCGTTTAGACGAGTACGAATAGGCATGCGAGACGACGGCGACCACGACCACGACGACGACGACCGACCGGCCGGCTCTCCGAGCCGCTTGGCTCGTTGTATCTATCGGCTTTCGTAATGTGGGAAACCTTGAGGCTTGCGCAAGCAGAGTCGTAAGAAAGTGAAATTGCAACGGAGAGTTCATTCATTTCAGGATCGGCCAGTCGAAGACCGATCCAAATACTTTGAATTTATTCTCCTATGTTCAATTCTTTATCAAGGGACAACGTTTTGTTTCTCCAATCGTTAAAGACACTTAAGAGTGGAGCCCCCACAATTAACAGTAGAACTGCCAAGCATTAATGAGGTAGATATGAGATTCTTATAGAGATTGTAACAACACATTTTCGTTCGATTTCTTTAGACATTTGTCGTAGTGTTTAAGCGAAACTATTTATTTTCGAAATTATCTCGGGTATTCTGTATTTCGAAGATATTAATAATTGTAGAATAAGAAAACTGAAATCAGTTAATTTTACGGTAGTTTTAACGTTAATATTAGATTTAAAGATATTTATTGGATAGTTTGTCCTGTCGTCCTTGGAAAAATTGATATTCGTTTATTTAGGTCAGAGGAAGGGTTGGCAAGCAAGGTTTATAAGGAATCTTGTGGGGCATGCTATATGCTGTTTTGTTATAAATATTCAGTTTATATTTGAAATCTGGCTGAATTAAAAAAAAGTGGTACCATCTGGTAATGTAGACGGTAATGTAGACAGTAACAGAGTAATTTTTATTACTCAATCGATAGTCAGATCTTAATTTCAGTGAAATTTCTCTGGAGATAGATAGGTTCATCAGAATGGATTATTAATAAAGCAACGTTCAACAAACGTCGCAATGATCTCCTTAAGATTCCTTTCCTTCCGAATCGCAGTATCGAGGATATCGATGATGTAACGTTGACTAATACGATGACGGTTCAGTTGCTACTTCTGCCAGAAGGCGATCGATCAAAATCGAAAACGTGATCAGTGAGTTTATTTGTTCGCCTATTAAAAACGGAAAACAGCATGGTATCCATATTAAACAAATGTAATAGAAAGCTGAACGGTATTTAAAAAGAATATTAACGAAAGAGTAAATACTCCACTCTGTTTACAATCGTATTCGCACGTGAAAATTATACAAAAATTATCGAATAACACAATAAGATATTGGAATGCTTCGAATACTTATACGAACCGTTCATTTGTCCATAAACGCCACTCTAATATGCAATTACATACACTTCAAAATTCACAACATATATCAAAATGTTTACAAGGTATCAACTCTCCATATTTCGTTCAAAGAAGAGTAATTACATATACGTATGCTATAACATAACACGTAACATAATATGCAAGAAGTCACTGATACGTTCTCTTGCACGTTATTTTATTCAAACAAATATTAAAACCACAGAAGCTATTATTAAAAAGAATTTTGGTAGCAAGTTAATCCACAAACTTCCCACCACCCTCATAAAACACTTTAAGAAAACAATCGTTCGCCCGAAGATTCGATTCGTTCGGATACCCTGGAAGACTCAGCAATCCGACGAGTCGACCATCGAACGAAAGATCGCCATTCGAAAATCTTTGTTCCGGCGTCCGCGGCGAACCGAGCGTTCGCCGCTCGCGATCGTGGATCTCTCGCGTACATATTTTATCGCGTCCGACTAATCGAGGCTGCCGTAGGCCGGATGAAAAAAAGTCCCCGTAGCAGGAAAGATTTCGAGCGAGCATGTGATCCGATCGCGTGCAGCTGCC